TTCTTTGTGTGGACTGTGATGCTCTGTTGTCTCCGAGGCATTGTGACATTTTTGTGTTTCTATTTAATTGGTGATTGTATGTTGGAGTGACTTGCCCATGATTTTTGTTTTCTTTTTATGTTATCTATGTAAGCAGGATACTGTGCTGTGCTCCTCTATTCACTAGTTGACAGCACTTATACACTCACCACCTGTCTCCTTTTCTGTTGTCAGCCTCTCATATATCACTGCTGACCTTCGCAAACACAGCCTATTCTTAGGTCCCTGGAATCTGAATGAGAATGCTGTCACTTTAAAATCCAAAATGGTTGCCACTCATAAAGATTCAAAATGGCTGCACCCTCAGTCACTTTAAATATCCAAAATGGCTGCTGCATGTAAACAATCAAAATGGCTGCGCCCTCTGGACAGCAGAAAGTCAAAAGCTCAGGTTATCTCCTCCTTGCTGTTTCCCTTCCTAGTCATAGGCCATCAGCACAGTCATCCCTGCAGCCCTTAGTGACCAAAGCTGATATTTAGGTCAATTCTCAGGTCCCAACACCACCTGGAAATATTCAGGCTGTTGGTCCCATCAGAGTAGCTGACAGTCCGCAGCTCTGACCATCGCTGTGGTACCGGAGCTGCTGAGAGAAATGCCAACACTGAGCAGTATGATGCAAAGGAAGGACTTTACTATACCGGTACTTGGGCTCAGTGGATTCGCATCCAGAGACTGAGCCCTGAACAAAGGCCACATAGGGTTTTTATGGGGCTCTTCTTCTGGGGTCTTTGGGATAAAAGGGTGGTTGGTTATTTTCAAGGACACAAGCCAGCAGTGTGTTACAGAAGCAGAAAACAACTGAGGCAGGGAAGAAACAGGGAGATGGGAGGGGTATAGGTTGCTGGAATGCATAGATAAGAAGGCTATCAAGGATGGCTGGTCTGGTCCAGGAGGAAGGAAGGGGGAGTATGGGGAGAGGGATTTTTCACTCCCTAAATTTTGATGGGATGAAACTGGGTCCATCCTGCCTCATCTGCACTCACTGTTTTTGTTCAGGTTTTTCCACTAGTTGGTGCCTAATCCACTTCTGTATAGTTCCTTTCAAAGCTCAGGGCTCCAGGATTATCTTCTGTATCTCTGTCAACTGCTTTTTCTTTTCTTTATTGAAGAGGGTCTGTGTCTGCCTATTCCTCTGGTATCCATTGTGAGAAGTAGTCATTTTCTTGTTAAATGATCTCTTGTACAATCTGGCCTAGAAAATCTCCTAGGCATATACTTTAGAAAGGTGTGCATATTTGCATAAGGTTACCTGGCCAATTATGTTCATAGTATTCTCTAAATAAAAGTACTCATGTCTTTACAGAGAATAGAATAGTCAATTGAGAAGGATTTACACAACGGAAAGGATGAAGTATGGCTTAACACAATAACCTGGAGAAAAATTAAATGCAGTGGGGAATAAAAGAAGCCATACATAAAATTGCATTTGCATGTACTGATATAAATTAAAAGACAGGTAAAATGGAATTACATTGTTCTCTAATGGGATTTGTGATTGGGTATAGCACGTGAGGGACTTCTGTAGAATTGACCAAAAATGGTATGACTAGATCAGGATTAGTGTTTCACAGCTTTGTAATGATTCACCAAAATTTAAACTTGTTTTTTTGTTTAACCTTTCCATGTATCTCCAACTGTCACAATAAAAATGTTAAATATATCCCACAGGTGATGAAGAATGGCAACGACAAGTATATATACTTTTTCAAAGAATTTCCTTATAGAGCAGATATGAGAAATTGGATGGTGACTAGAGAGAAAGGTGAGATAAAAGGGACAGTTTTACAAAGATAAGAGAGACTACAGCCTGAGATATGGCAACTGGCACTAGTAATAAGGCTGATCCAATGGAGAAACAGATACAGACATGTAAAATTGAGACAGGACAAGTATAGGAGTGAAGTCCTTGATAAATTAAAAGCAAAGGGAATCCCACACCTAAGTAAAAGAATCGGTCTTACATAGGATCCTGGACAATTCATTGGTTATAATAGTAGGAAAATATACATGTAGGTGGATTCATCATATGGAAGTTGTTTTTTCATTGCTTCTATTTTTCTCAGTGAAATACAAGGTAAGAATTTATTAGGAGAGAGAACTGACCAGTGAAATGTTGTAAGAAGTAATTTTGGAATCAAAAGTGTGCAATCAGTCAGCATGTTGAGTCTTCTGAAGACAATTTTAATGATTTGAATCAAGTACAAACAAGTAACATGCAGTATCTCATTGCATGACATTCTAGCACTTATGAGTCATTTAGTCATTCAATAAATAACTTATGTTTATCTACTCAAGAACAAGCACTCTTTATAATCTTTTTTTCATTTTTGCAGTGTTCCTTCCCCTCCCCTCCTACCCCTGGTAACCAACAAAGAAAGGACAAGCACTCTTGTAGGGCTGGGGGTATAAAGAAGAACAAAGAGAAGTGGTCTCTAACAATATGGACATCATATTCTAACACAAGGGAGCCTTTTAGAATACCTAGCCCTAGCAGAAATGGTGAAGTGCTCTGCTGTTAAATTACAGTTTGGCAGTTTGAACCTACCCGCAGCTCTGCAAAAGAAAAGAACTGATCATCTGTGCCTGTAAAGATTACAGTCGAAGAAACCCTGGGGGCAGTACTACTCGTCCTATAAGGCTGCTGTGGGCAGAGGGTCAGCAGAAAAGGGAGATCCTCAATGAGACAGATTGACACAGTGGCTGCAACAATGGACTCAAACATAGCAATGGATTTGAGGATGGTACAGGACCAGGCAGTGTTTTGTTCTTTTGTATGTAGGGTCACTATCAGTTGGCGCCAACTAGACAGCACCTAACAACAACAACAACAACATGACTCAGAATCAACTCGATGGCACACAAAAACAACAGTCTCCAACAGACATAATTTTGGGGTACCAATATGCCAGGGCCATCCCTAGCAGGGTATGGGCCTAGAAAACCAAGCAATGCCTGGCAAGCCCAGGATGTGGACTCTAACACCTCTCACAGACGTTTTTGGACAGTGTTACAAAAAGAACTCAAAATAATAAATTTTGACAATGTTCAAGAATACTAGTAAGATCCCTGCCCTGTGTGGATCATGGCCCCACTCAAGTCTATCTTGGGGCACGAGGCATCCACCTCACTTGTCTTACCTAACAGACTGGCCTGTGAGATATACACATCATTTAATGCCTCACTGAGAAAAAGAATGACCTGGGTTAAGATGGGCCATGGGCTATAGATAAGAGTTTCAGAAGAAAGGAACTGGGCAATGGAGTGTGCCCTCCAAGGAGATCTCCAGCCCTCTGGTCTGGAACATCTGGAGTCAGGTGAGCAACTGACGACAAGAGGGGGGGGGAGGGGTGTTCCGTGAGGCCCGAGTAAGGAAGGCATGGAGATGTTGTTTCCTCCCCCAAAGTACAGTCTTGTATTACAGAGTCTGTAGTCTTTCTTCAAGACCCATCCCTCCATAATGTCAAAAGGAGCTTAGCCCAGGAGCACTGAAGCTGATACTGTGGAAGGAAGTCACAGAGTAAGGAAACTTTCTGAAGGATAAGAGGGATAACAAAGACCAGGAAGACACACAGCAAGAGGCTGTAACTCTCAGAGGTAGGCAGGTGCCACCCTTCACGCAGTCAGCATATAACTGGGTCTACTACCCGAGTCTCTGATGGTCAGCGTGCCAGGGAGAGCTGCTGACAGACCACAGGCCCTGCCTCCTCAACTGATTCACTTGGACCAAGTCAGTGGCAGCCTCAGTGAGAGACTCCCCTGCCATCCTGTCTTCTCCACAGAAAAACCGAGTGATTATGAATGAGACTGAAAGAGCACTTCAGGCTCAGGCTTCCAAGAGGAAGGGCTTGAGGCTGGGGCCAGGACCAGTGCCTTCATGCGCCAAGATGGGGGTCATGTTGTTCTTGAGAATGATTTTTCTGCCCAGCATGTACTGTGACATAAAATCGGAATATTACTCCTCCTATGAAATTGTCATCCCACAGAGTTTGACAGCGAAGGGAAGGGAAGACCCAGGAGAAGAGGCGTCATACATGCTACACATACAGGGCCAGAAACAGGTGATTCACTTGAAGGTGAAGAAAGACTATTTCGTGAGTAACTTTCCAGTATTCAGCTACCACAACGGGATCCTGGGGCAAGAAGTGTCTTTCGTCTCACAGGACTGCCACCATGAAGGCTACATAGAAGGCGCCCCAGGCTCTTTTGTTTCTGTCAGCCTCTGTTCAGGCCTCAAGGGCATCCTGATTAAGGAGGGACAGTCCTATGGCATTGAGCCCATGGAGTCTTCAAAACATTTTGAACATGTGCTGTACACCATGGCACACCAAGCTCCAGGCTCCTGTAGCGTCACCTCCGACAGGAGTCCAGGGGTGTCCACCAGCCAGCAACGAGGGACCTGGAAGCCTCGTCACCGACAGGCACCTTCCTACTTGTGGTCACACACCAAGTACGTGGAGATGTTTATTGTGGTCAACCACCGGCGCTTCCAAATGTGGGGCAGCAACGTCAGTGAGACAATCCAGGGAGTGATGGACATCATTGCTCTGGCCAACAGCTTCACTAAGGGAATAAACACAGAGGTGGTGCTGGCTGGGATGGAGATCTGGACCGAGGGGGACCTGATAGAAGTCCCGGTGGACTTGCAAGTTGCGCTCAGGAATTTCAACCGCTGGAGACAGCAGAAGCTCTTCCAGCGTGTGAAGCATGATGTCGCCCACCTGATTGTCGGACATCATCCTGGACAGAACGTGGGACGGGCATTTCTCAACGGTGCCTGTTCCGGTGATTTTGCAGCAGCTGTTGAATCCTTCCATCACGAGGATGTCCTCCTGTTTGCCGCACTCATGGTCCACGAGCTGGGGCACAACTTGGGTATTGAGCACGACCATTCGGCCTGCATTTGTAAAGATAAGTACTTTTGCCTCATGCATCAAAATATCACAAAAGAAAGTGGCTTCAGCAACTGTAGCTCTAACTTCTTTTACCAGTTTCTCCGTGATCGCAAAGGGGCGTGTCTGTTTAACAAGCCAGGGCACAAAGGTCGCACGCGTAGGGATGCCATCTGTGGAAATGGGGTGGTGGAGGACATGGAGGAGTGTGACTGTGGTCCTATCTGTGACAGTCACCCATGTTGTGACCCAATATGCAAACTGAAGCCAGGAACACAGTGCAGTGAAGGACTCTGCTGCTCCGAGTGCCAGCTGAGAAAGAAGGGATACATGTGTCGTCCTGCTGGGGATGAGTGTGACCTCCCAGAGTACTGTCATGGTGACTCTGAAGAATGTCCTACAGATACCTATAAGCAAGATGGCACACCCTGTGACAGAACTAACTACTGCTTTAGGGGTCAGTGTAAGAACCCTGATAAGCAGTGTGTGGCTATTTATGGGCACCAAGCCAGGTCTGCCTCAGAAGACTGTTACCAGTCAATGAACAGCAGAGGAGACCGGTTTGGGAACTGTGGCCGTCCCTCAGAGAATGACCCAGTTTATATTAAGTGTATAGATGATGATATATTCTGTGGGAAACTTGTATGTACAGATATTACATACTTACCATCAATCAAACCCCTACACACACTGATCCAAGTCCCTTATGAAGATAACTGGTGCTGGAGCATGGATGTCTTTAATGGTTCTGACATCCCTGATGAGGGAGACATACGGCCTGGAACTTACTGTGCCCCAAACAAAGTCTGCATGAATCACTCCTGCGTGGATCACGCGGTGTTGAACTACAGCTGCAAACCAGCTGAAATGTGTAATGGGAAAGGAGTGTGTAACAATTTAAGACACTGCCACTGTGAGCCTGGCTTTGCCCCTCCCGACTGCAGGGCAGCAGGAGATGGAGGTAGTGTGGACAGTGGACCCCCCACGAATCCTGATGCTGAAAGCAGACGTGCAAGTGAAAGAAGAATTCACAGTCCTGTTGGTGCTAATGCCCACAGACGGGACGAGAACGAAAACGAAAACCAAAGCCTTGGCAAGACAGTGCACATACTCCCCTTGTTTCTTATTGTATTATTTTTAGGTCTACTTATTTTTGCCATCCTGAGGGACAGAAAGCAGTCTTCAGAGACCCAACAAGAGTCTGTAGAAAATGCCCCAGAAGCAGCCCCAGAAGAGCCTGCACCTGAAGAGGAAGTAGCCATAGACGGAGGACAAGAAGAACAAGAGGCAGAAAATGATTAGCAGAAGGAAGAAGCCAAATATATCAAACATCTGATGCACTGGGTGAGCTAAGGGGCTCAGTAAAGCCAAGGTTAAGTGGGCCTCGATGGCTCGGATCTAGACCGTAAGTCTGCAGAAACAAACTCACGACAGAGGAGGGATTTTTCAAATATTATTGTAGTAATTTGATTATATATATAAGTAAAATCATATATGAAAAAATGTTTTACTTTTTTCCATTTTCCCATTTCATGACAGAATGTTATTCATATGAAATCCACATTTCATGTGGATTCCTATCAATGTTTTGTCTCAATAGGGCCAACTGAGTCACCCGAAACCATTTTCTAGGGTATGCCATCATCCACATATGTTGTTTTACATACAGCATTATCTATACCTATACATATTATTGCAGGATTTTTCATTCCAACCACAACTATGTATTACTTTAGGAAAGTTGTTTATGTGATTAATTGTCCCAATTTACCCTGTTAAGTTTATTCATGAAATAAGAAGAGATTTTTAAAAAGTAAATAAAAAAACTATTTTCATATGAGGCTTTACGTCAGTCTCCATGTGGCCTATAACTGGGTCTCCTTTTCTTTGGTGGCTTTGTGGAAGGGGTTAGATCTAATGCAGAAGGGCTGACCATACTGGATCTGGGTGCACTGGTGAGGGAAGACAATCAGTGCAGGGCCAAGGGCCCCCTGGTACAGGAAGAAGGGCATTCTTGATGTATTCGTTTCTTTGTTCTCTTTTACTGTTGTTGCTTTACTTTTTTCTCACACTTGTATAAGGTTAATACATTCTCAACTGACACTCCAAAGGAACTTTTCAGGTGGTAATTATGTTTTTATGACGAGAGCACAGAGGAGTATGATATTAGTATTACTCATTCTGTGCCACACACTGTGCTAAACTTTACACTCATTTTCTTCATTTATTCCTCCAAACCAGTCTATCAGACCTTATCTTGTACATGAAGATGCCAAAGAGATGGTAAAAGTAGTCTAGAGCCAGTAGCTCTGATAGCATAGTGCCTAAGGCACTTGACTGCTAACCAGAAGGCTGGCGGTTCAAACCCACCAGCCACTCCTCGGAAGGAAGATGGGGCACTCTACTTCCGTAGTGATACTGCCTCGGAAACCCAAGGAGGGGTCACTATGAGTCGGGTCCGACTCAATGGCACATAACAACAACAACAGAGCCAGTAGAGGGGGAGCCGGGGTGCCTTCCCAGGTATGACAGACTCTACATTCCCCACTCCCCCAAGAGCCTTTACTTAAGTGGAGTAAATGAGAGGGAAGACACTCAATATGAGCTCAGCTGTCCAGAAGATGGCTTTTCTCCAATGACAATAATAAAAGAACACCTTACAAATGGATGCTGATCGCTACTGTGAACCTACCATGTTGTTATGTGCTGTCAAGTTGGGCTCAACTCATAGCGACTCCTCCATGGGTTTCTGAGGTAGTGTCGCTACGGAAGTAGATTGCCCAACCTTCCTTCCGAGGAGTGGCTGGTGAGTGCCAGCCTTCTGGTTAGCAGTCAAGTGCCTCAGGCACTACGCTTCCAGAACCTACCATATCATAGATTAAAATGTCTTTTCTATGATTAGATCCTGACATCATGGAGTGGTAATTTGCATTTTTGTTCAGCTCTGTGGGCTCAATATATTGTACACATTGAATAAGTATTTGCCAAGTGAACGATTCAACCACAGCCAACTTTAAAATATGGCACCAGATTCCTTTCCTGGCCAAGCCGTCACTTGCCAGTCCCTAGCTACGCAACAACCAAACTACTGCTCACATTGAGTGAGTGCTGTGAGGGGCTGTTCCTGAGCACCAGCCTATGAAGATATATCTTCTGAACATGTCTTGTATTGCTTACCCTATAGCAGCAGCAAAGTACAAACACAAGAAAGACAAGATCTGGTTTCCAATTTCATGAACTGTATATAATTACTTCTCATGGAACAAAACTAAAGCTTCAAAACAAAATTCAATCAAGTTTTCAGCCCCAAGGGCATAACTTTAAGTACAAAGTAGGAAAAACAGATCACAAAATCTGGTAGCAATTTTCTAGCAATCAAATCCCAGAATGGTTTATGCCAAAAGACCAAAATTCATAGTGAGAAATTGTGCTACAGGCTGGGAGTCACCTTAGAGCTTTGAAAACAAAGAAGAAACTAGGTAAATTGGAGGCCTACAAATGAAACTTCTCATTAGAGACTTTTGAAAAAGAAGGGGAGGATTCTGATGAGAAGCACCCAGGAGAGTACATCTTTCTTACTGGGCATGCTGGTGGTGATGATAATAAAAGGCAATGAGCATCATATATTTAAAATAACTTATCAAGATAAGGGGATCATTTATACATAAGGAGTTCTGGTGGCACAGTTCCTAAGGCATCTGACTGCTAACCAGAAGGCTGGTGGTTCAAACAACCAGCCACTCCTCAGAAGGTAGACTGGGCAATCTACTGCCATAGAGATACTGCCTGGGAAACCCAAGGAGGGGTCTCTATGAGTTGAAATTGACTTTACGGCAGTGAGTTTGGTTTGGTTTGGTATGTTTTGGAACCGACTCTGGAAAAGGATTTGGTTCCAAAAAGCCAAACTCACTGCTCTAGAGTTGGACCTGACTCATAGCGACCCCTCCTTGGGTTTCTGAGGTGGTATTGCTAGGGAAGCAGTGATACCTTCCTTCCTTAGGCACTATACTACCAGAGCTCCTAAAGGATTTGGTTAGGTTTGGTTTAGTTACGCTGGTGGTTTAAACTCACCAGCCACTCTTCAGAAGGAAGGTTGGGCAATCTACTTCAATAGTGATACCACCTCGGAAACCCAAGGAGGGGTCACTATGAGTCGGGTCCTACTTGATGGCACATAACAACAATTTAAGGGAGGGAGCTCTGGTGGCGTAGCGCCTAAGGCATTTGACTGCTAACCAGAAGGCTGGTGGTTCAGACCCACCAGCAACTCCTTGGAAGGAAGGTTGAGCAATCTACTTCCGTAGTGATACCACCTCGGACACCGAAGGAGGGGTCGCTATGAGTCGGATCCGACTCGACAGTAGTGCATTTGGTTTTTTGGTTTAATTTAAGGGAAGATAAGAACACTGGTGGTGGAATGGTTACATGCTCAGCTGCTAATCAAAAGGTTAGTGGCTGAAACCCACCCAGTGGTTCTGAAGGAGAAACATCTGGCAATCTACTCATGTGAAGGTCACAGCCTAGAAAACACTATGGCACAGTTCCACTCCTAGTTTTGCTATGAGTCGAAATTGACTAGATGGCACTAACAACAACATACACAATGATTTAATGGAAGGGTCCCTGGGAGATGCAAGCAGTTAATGTGCTCAGCTGCTCACTGAATGGTTCGAAGTTTGAGTCCACCGGCTGATCTCCTTCTATGATATGAGCTATCGAACCCGATGGAACACAGTTTTACTCTGACACACATGGGTCACCATGATTTGGAGTTGACTCAACAGCCACGGGTTAACTGGTCATTTAACGGAAATCTTTAAAGACAATAAGGCATATTCGTGAACTGTCAAATGGATTTAAAAATGTGCAGAAAGCAGGGAATGAAGGGCCGGGTAAAGGCCATTAGGGTAGACTATGGCGGAAGAATGACCAGTTTTCATGTGGAAGGAGTGAGCAGGTAGGTGTAACTGAGGGTCTGAAATCCCTATAAAGCAGAGGCAATAACAGTCCGTTCTGCATTATGTGTGGCCGCCTCCACAAAGACAGCCTGGTTCCTCTGCCCAGTAAATTCCGGGGTTCTGAGGACTGCTTACAAGGCCCGCTAGTCTTTGTTGGTGGTCACTCGTGACCCAGCCAGGGGCCGCCCCAGGATGCTCTGACCTTGACTTCTTCCATCCTTTACCTGCCTTTCTGAGTGGCTTTGTTCTCTCTGGGCTGGCTCAGGCCAGTAGACACCAAAACCTTTCATTCAGTTCCCCACATCACAGCCAAGTCCAGGTTCTAGAGTTTTATCCAGACTTGGGGAAAAACAAAAAGGGAGATTACCACGGGGAGAAGAAAACACACTTAGATGCTGCAGCTATTCATGTTCCTGCAGTCCACGGGTCATGCTCCACCGCTGAAGGGCTGATAAGCCACCTCTCTCCTTGGCCCTGACATGACATCCTTTCCTGCCCCCATAAAGTCTCTTTGGGAATGTTCTAACCTGGAGTTAGGCTCCACTCCCTTCTCTGTAGCCCAGTGGAAGGAAGAAAAAACTAAACAAGAACAATGTACTGAAAAGCCACATTCTACCAACAATAAGACAAAGGCATATACTCAGTTGGAAAAAATTAACTTTTTATATCTCCAAATTTCATTCCTGAATAGAATGTTGGTTTCTTTTGAAGGCCAAAAGTCTTCTGAAAGTATTTCAAAAGGAAAAAAGAAAAAGAGTAGTCTTTCTCCACGAATGAATTTGCAAAATGCTGAAAAACGAACTGTAAAAAAGTTTCTACCCTGCTTCTAGAATTTTCATGGCTCCTCACTGGTACTCTCCAGTGAGGAGACAAATATTTCACAACTACTTCCCCATAATTACACTTGATCTGTTACATTACACCATGTGTTAGAGAAAAGCTATGTATTTGCACAGGTTTCTGTGGAGAGTGAAGCCTAACTACGCTGACCCTGAACCTCAACAATGAGCTAGATCATGGGTGTTTGAAACCTGTCACATGATATAAAAGTTTCAAAGCCTCCGCTGATTTTGTCTATTTAGAGGTGGAAGCAGAATTTGCCTTTGTGGAAGAAGCTTTTAGTGAGCCCTGAACCTTTGTTACGCCAAGGTAAACCCAAGTCCTGTTCTGTACAGGAGCAACTGAGACACAACTTACACAGCTCAGCTAACAATGTAGGTCCCTTGTCTTCCACATAGGCAAAATAACATCGCTGTTGATATCACTGTGATGTTGACCACTGAGAAGGAAGGGTTTGGTGAGAGAAACATTGTGGGCATAGGCCTGTGAAAAGGGATCTGGGTAAAAGTGGCATCAGGGAAAGTAAAATGGTTGAAATAATATAGTAAAAGTACATTAAGTCTCACTAACAATCAAGAGTATACACTAAATATTGTACATCTAATACTACTCCTAAAAGAAGGAGCTTGGTATTTCAGTTATGAATTTTTAATATCATATCATTTTAAATGATCCTTATTAATACGTTTGCCATTTCTTTCCATAAGTATTATAAACATCCACAATTGTTTCTAAAAAGAAATCAAGTATAAAACATAAAAACAATTTTCCTTAGTGACAAGTTTTTCTTGTCTTAAATACTAAGAGCATATGAGTATTAGATATTGCAACAACGGGTCTCTCCTCGTCAAGAAGAAAGAAGAAAACCAAAATTAATGGAAACAATCAGTCCTAG